AGCACAAAACAGAACAAAACCCATAAAACAGACCATTGGATTTTACAGGACCAGAGTACAGAAAGTTAATTGGTACACATTGAAGTCAGCATTGAAATTTACCTTTAAGAAATTGCTATTTGTCAAATGTTGGTGGGGTATGAGAGAAGAGCCACTGTTAGCTGAAAAGGGTCCTGTGTGTCTTAGGTTATATTCTGTGGTTCTACAAGGCTACATCCTGGATCAGGGCCAGGGCCACGGCCACGGCCAGGGCTAGAGCTCGCGCTCAGTGGCACAGCGAGTATGAGGTCTGTGTTTAGTCCCCAGCACTGACAACCCAGAGACATGCCTCAGCAGATTGGATGTGGGGGTAAATGAGAAAAATGCAGAGGTGAATGAGTTGAATAGCTTACAGCTAGCTTGTATGCTGGTAAATGTTAAGTGTTATGGCCTGGAAACACCAATTTGGCAGATATATTTCCTGGTTTTTGGAAATAAGTCAGGGATTGTGATTGCTCAGGAGAATTAACCAGGAAGAAATTGAAAATGTAACTGGGCATTATGGCAAACACTTTTAGCCCCAACACTTGGGAAGCAGAGGCAGGCAGATCTCTTGAGTGTGAGGCCAGCCTGGTCTACAGAGTGAGTTCCAGGACAGCCAGGGCTGTTACACAGAGAAACCCTGTCTCAAAACCAAACAAGCAAACAAATTGAAAGTGCTTATAGTAGTAGTCAGAGAGAACAAAAAGTTAAGATGCAGGCTGTGGATAGGAAGTGGCTAAGATTAGGAAAAGGAGCATAGTGTCTGGTTCAGGGCCCATCTTCCTTAATTAACAGTGGGTTAATAAACACATTGGGAACTTACTGTCCTTTAGCTGTCCAAGGTCATATAGCTAATAACTGTTCAAGTACCCCAGACAAGCACTTCGGAGTACGATGAAGATTAGGGGGTGGGGGGAGCTCCTTTCTGTGAAATGGCCACCAAAGCCTTAAAGGAACCCAAAATCAGTAAGGACTTAAATATGGAACTTAATAACAAACCTCAAAAGTTTGGAAAACAGGAACAAATCAAAAACCCCAAACCAGTAGACAGGAGGAATAATAGAAATCAATGCAATGGAAGCTTGAATGACAAGACCAAGACTCGCCGAGACGGAGAGTTGGTTCTTTCAAAAGACAGACAAGATTGACAGACCCTTAGCTGGGTTATTCGAAAGATAGAGGGAGAAGATCCCATTTAGAGATGAAGCTAGAAAATCCCACAACAGGTATCTAAACAGTGTCTAGCTTTAAGGAGTAGGGAAGATAAAATGGGAAGTGAAACTGTGAACATGGGTCTGAGAGAGAAACTTCAGTGTAAACAGGAAAGAGAGAGAGCTTTTATTTTGGAATAGTGAGTTTAGAAGAAAGCTGCCTGGGCCAAAAAATGATAGCCAATTATATTTTGGGGGGAGAGAAATACAAGCACATTTGGAAATACATATGAGACCAAGAAGTGAAATGCTAGCGGAGACGTGCAGCCTTGGTGTTAGAGCTCGTGGAGGTGTTAACCATCTTGTGGTTTGTAAAGTTTTTCTCACGTGTTGCTGGTTTTGAGGCTCACGACCTACAGGAAGTGGGTACGGCCACTTGAGTGATCAGGAAATTGAAGTTCTGAGAGAGGTTCATTACCAGAAGAGCTCTCCAATGGCTTTAGCACAGAGGGCTTAATCTGGCTTCTGAAAAAGCAGGTGAGAAGAGACTGTGAAGGGCACCGATGACTGAAGTGATGGTAGCCACGTTGGTGGACGGACTGCTCTTTGATGTCCCTGCCTCAAATGCAGGGCTCTGTGTGCAGAGAGCTAGAAGAGGCAGAAGGGAAGAGATCTGTGAACATCCTTTTAACTTTCTGCATGGACTAACTTTCACAGTGGTTCTAGATTGGGGATTCCATGGGGGGGGGGAGGTTACTGATTAGAACATTACTGCCATTTGCTTAGTGGGTTTACATGAGGCCAGCTGTTCTTTCAGTTCCAGATCCCTGGAACCTCTACGCTGAGTCTGCAGATGGATATACCCTGCATATCAAGATATACCCTGATATACCCTGTACATCAAGAACCCTGATATTTAAATCTGTGAAATGTGAGCTGGAATGAGGTCTTTTTCCTCTCGCTGGTCCTTATTCCACAGATACTGGCTGATGAGGAATTATAACCAAGTATGGGGATGAGAACAGACTGCTCTGAGAGGCCCAGTAGAACCCGGTTTGAATCACTCTGGAGCACAAAGTAGCTTCAAGGAGAACCCCAGCTTAGCATTGTGAACTTCTGTTCAGAGTGGAGCAGTGCTGTACGGGCTGGCAGACACCTCTTCTCTCCCAGAATGTCACTGCCACTCTTCACTCAGGAGTCCTTCTGCCAGAGTAAAGTTCAGTTAGAGAAGATATTGTGTCGGGGGGAAGCAATACATGGCTTAGTGAACATGAAGGAGCTCCTTCTGAGGAGAGCATCACTAAGGTGACATTTAGAAAGAAAAAGAAAATAGCACCCCCCCAAAAAAAAGCAGTTGGGAAGTCTCTGGAGGAAATGAAATGTTGGTGACTTTATGACTGCAAAATGATATAAAGGATGTGTGTCTCTTCATCCTCAACCTTAGTGGGCTTTTAGAACTTTGGTAATAGCCATGTCTAGGTTGAACAGTTTAGGGAGCAACTCACTGTGGAATGTCGTATCTCTCTTCAACTCAGCCAGCATGCTTGGAATTGCCATAGTTCCCCAACTCATTGGAACATGGAGATTTGAATGACTGTTTTTTTTTTTTTTTTGGGGGGGGGTGTTTTTCATGTTTTGAGACATATCTCTTGCAGTGTATGTTGACTGTACTGCACTTACCATGTAGCCCAGGCTACAAACCCACAACAACAGTCCTTCATCTTCAGCTTAAGTGCCAGGAGTCTAGGCATTCATTGCCATGCTGGGCTGACTGTTTTTTGTTTTTGTTTTGTTTTGTTTTGTTTTCCATGAGAACTTGGGGTATATCCATCTGCAGACTCAGCATACAGGTGGCAGTAATGTCCCTCTTCAGTATACGGGTTCTGCCCAGGGTCCAGAACTTTCAAGTGAAACCCAAGTGAGCTATAGGCTGTGTTTGTCAACAGGGTAAATGTTGTAGCAGGTAAGCCTGCTGCTTGTACAGCTGCTTTTGGCACCAGCTGCCAAACTGGGTGGAGTTTCTGGCGCTTTCCCCAGAGTATTTCTGGTTGAACCAGAAGCTAGACTTTCTGGGGCTGGGACATAGTCACACTGGGGCAGCAGTGTGGAGATTGTGTCAAAAAGGAAGAGGGGTGTGGAGTAGAAAAGCTACTGAGATCTGCCCCCTCAGCCACTTACTCCCCTTCCCATCTCTACCAGTCTCCTGACCCCCACTCATCTAGCTACCTAGAGTTGTCTGAGGCCTGAAGCATGCTAAAGGAGAAGGCTGAGGTCTGTCATGAAGGGTGGGGTCTATAGGGCCTCCGGATTCAGATTTTGGGTGTGCCTGTGCCGTGTTGATTTGATGGTTTCCACCTTCCTTTCCCAAGTGCCATCTCCCTTAAGAACCTGCCTGTGGTTTGAAGTTTGTAGTGGGAAGGGACTTTTTCTAGAGTTGTGTTAGGGGTGTGGTTCACCTGCCCTGGGGTGGTTCCCTTCCCCTGGGTTGGCATGGGGCCATGGATATTATGAGTTTAACCCAAATCATCAGGAAACATCAGGACTCCAAACACAGAACAGTCTTTTCACTGTGGTTCTAGGGTGATGCCCTGAACAGTGAGGTTTTTGAGAGCAAGCAAGTGGTGGGTACCTTTTCTTTCATGAAGATGTTTCCAGCTTAGGTTCCCTCACAACTGCCATTCTGAGTGCATGACGTAGAAAGACTGCTCTGTAACTCAGGGTAATCCATATGATTTTACATTTTGCAGTTGCTTATGAAAGACAAAGTTGGAACTATGTTAGCTCATAGCATCACTCATTTATTACATGTCCCTCATTTTCCTCCACTCACTGCCTGTAGATTTCTATGTGTGGGGAAAATAGGTATAAGCATGTATAGATCTAGATGTCTTGACAAGTTGAAAAACAGACAAAATATGGAGTAGTTGTCTTGAGAGTCACATTGTTCCAGCCCCGGTAAGCAGTTAGCTTTTGTATGTAGTCTCATCACAGTGGATGCCTTTAACTGTGAGAGAGGTGTTAGCATAATGTCCATATTTTATGTGTCAGCCATAATTGATGAAAGCTAAGTGCCCTTGGGCTTTGGGGTTCAAGATTAGTCTCCAACTTGGTGTTAAAGTAAATTCCAGCACGAACATTCTCTTCGGTACAGGGAACCAGATGACCGACCTTATTAGGAACACCCTGGTTGCCAGCATTATGTGCTGAGAATATTTTCCATGTGGTACAGACAGCAGGGCATTAGATCGTGGTCTTGATTCAATGTGGATTCTTGTGATTAGCATCTGAGTTGGGACCAGATTTTGAATCTCATTGCTATGGAATATGTACAGCAAGTTTCCACCTAGGTCCTCCTGCCCATGTCTTATTGAATGAGAGCTTGGATTTTAGTTTACCCCAACATCTAAATGACCTGGGATATGCAACATGCCATCCAGGTTTTAATGCTGACCTCCTGTGACAGTAGATATAGTGTTCTTTGAGGATATGATGAAGTAGAAGTCCTTTCTTACCCAAATAGGTGTCTGAGGGACCCATTCCTCACATGGTGTTGGCATTGGAATTGCTGTCAGATAATGACATGGGGAACCATCTTTTCCAGATCAAATATTTCACCTGCAATTGGTGTTTCTCTGTCCCTGTTTTTTCAACCTGTCACGGCCCCTTAATTAGAATGTACTGCTGGAGGACAGGCACTGTTGTCAAACTTGGGACATTTTGTAAGGATGCCCAAAAGCGCCAGACAAGCAGCTGGAGTGTGAACTCATCCAGATGCGATGCCGAAACTCCCCAGAGGGGTGTCTTCATTGTTTTCTTTCTTTGTTCCAGAAGCAAAGGCCGATAATGAACCGAGCTGTTCTCCAGCAGCTCAAGAACTGTTGACAAGGCTGGGATTTTTACTGGGAGAAGGGATCCCAAGTGCCACACACATAACTATTGAAGACAAAAACGAAACCATGGTAATGCTAGAAGACGATACTGCATTTCCTACCTGTTTAGAGGATGAATGAGGCTATAGTACACATCCTATGTGTGTGTGTTTTGTGTGTGTGTGTGTGGTAGGGGGGTGTTACTGTTTGTCAAATGAGTTCTGGGCTCTTGAGTGTTGAAATTTATTGCAACAATTTGTTTCTGGGTCTTTGCAGGGGTGGTGGTAGAAGTAGTTAAGGACAAACAGAAGGGATTTGAATTTAAGAAAATGTTCATATTAACCTTCTAGCCACTACCCAGAGAATTTTGGCTACATGATTTAAGGTGGCTGGAAGAGTTTGTCTAAAGATGCTACTTCTGTCTTGAGAGCACCATTCTCTCTGTTGACTGCTTTGGTCTTTGCTTACCTGTGCTCTCTTTGCCGCTAGGATTGGGAGTTGGGGTGAGTCAGTGGGGTGAAGAGAAGATGTATAGGAGATGAGGTAGAGACAGAATGAGAGGGCGTTAAATGGTTCATCCTCCCTGGAGGCACTCTCTGTCCAAGGGAGCACAGCCACCAGCTTCCTGCCACCTCTGCATGTGCAAGTAGCAGTGAGGGCTGGAGCTTCTGCCTCCTTCTGGGTCTCTGTGAGGAGGTATGGGTTGGGGAGTTATTGAGACCATCTCCTTTCCTGGACACAGAGCCCATAAATCTTCAGGAATAGAATCGGGCTGCTGTGCTGGGAAACGTTATAGAAACACAGTCCCCAGGTTTTCTGTACAGAGGTTAAATAACCCATTCATTTTCTGCAGGCTTTAAATGGAAGGAAGTTGCCTGTTGCCGCCTCTGTTTTATGAATTTGTGTTCCCACTGAAGTATTGCTAAGACTGCCCTTTTAGGAAAATCAAACCCTGAAAGGAGGCAACCAGAACAAAGACACGTCTCTCAGCATTTGGAGAACGTCGTCTATCCCTGTTTAGCTGTTGTCTTTCTAGAGGTTAAAGCATGTCTCCATTTGTTTTGTGTTTAGTTTCATCTTTTTAGCATCCAGAATAAAAACATGTGTTGAAGCATGCTGTGGAAGCCACGTTAACGCCTCCTTCCGTTCGTCCTACAGTGCACAGCTCTGAGCCAAGGCATCAGTCCTTGTTCCACACTGACAAGCAGCACCGCCTCTCCTAGCACCGATAGCCCCTGCTCAACCTTGAATAGCTGTGTCAGCAAGACGGCAGCCAACAAAAGTCCCTGTGAGACCATTAGCAGCCCTAGTTCCACCCTGGAAAGCAAGGACAGTGGAATTATAGGTAAGAGGCTCACTGCTTGGTGATGTCATGGCTCGATGCTCGACAGTTGGAGCGCTCACGGGCACCTCACGAGAGGGGTTCAGTGTGGCACATGAAGGTCAATCTGCAGACCCTGCCCTGTTCTTGCAGACAGCTCGGGGCTGTGTGCAGCCAAGACAATGAAGATCAGCTTTTATAATCCTTTATTTTATATCACTGGGCTCATGTGGTTTAAACAAACAAACAAACAAAACACCTTATCAGGTCTGACTTGCGAAGTTAGACACAACCTCCCACCTCACAGGTCAGCTCCTGGGGCATCCGATCCCTTTAGGGCACCACAGCAGGGTCATGAAATCCCTGCATATGAAGCAGTTTGCATAACCCAATCCATTGCTTTTCCTTCTGGTGACCTGTAGGGCCTGTGTTCTCCGAAGGTTGCTTATCCTGGGATCTGGCCACTCTACTGAGGTCAGGGTTTTCTAAGGAAGCCTTTCCTGAGCCTCATAGGATACATCTGGTCTTGGAGAGTTGAGTGTAAGAAGGCTAAATCCTAAGTGGCTTGAGCAACATTGAATTGACTTGGCATACTTACTGTCTAGAAAATCAAGGGTTCTGGTTAATCCGTTAGTCTGTGGAGCTGTGTGATACTAGAATTCAGTGACTTTTTTTTTTTTAAGATTTTATTTATTTATTATGTATACAACATTCTGCTTCCATGTATATCTGCACACCAGAAGAGGGCACCATATCTCATAACGGATGGTTGTGAGCTACCATGTGGTTGCTGGGAATTGAACTCAGTACCTCTGGAAGAGCAGTCGGTGCTCTTAACCTCTGAGCCATCTCTCCAGCCCGAATTCAGTGACTCTTAAGAGCCTGTTTACATATCCCCACTCAGACAGATCACCATGTGATTCTGAGGTAGGCTCAGGGACTGGCTGAGGTCTCCAGCTTGTTGGCCTTCCTTTTGACAGCAACAGGTGCAGACGGGTGGGGTCTGAAGGTGTGACTGGGGCATTCTGCTCTGGGACTGTGTGGATTTCATAGTGGGTCTCTTCTGAACCGTTAGCAGCATCCCCTTTGCTGGACTATGCTCATGTCTTTGAAGGATAGTGTGTGTTATTATCGACCAGCTGCACTTCCACATTAATATGTAGTCAGATAGACCCCTGAGCTTCATAGTCTCCAGTTACCTGCACTTTCCTTCAGCAAGGAGTCATCTTTTACTAATTTTGGTAGGATCAGACTCATGGATTTGTTTTATGCTGCCACCCATTGCAGTATCAAAATGTAATTTACATGCCATAATATTCACTTAAGCTCAACTTCTAGCATGTTCAAAATGATGTGCCTGTCACTAGAAGATGATCTTAGAATGTTGTCACCATCCCCACGAGAGATACCGTACCAGTTTGAAATCACTGTTCCCTCCCCATCTCCAGGCCTCGCCGTCCAGCAGCCTACTTTCTTCTGTCTGTGGTTGAGCTGACTTTGGACGCTTGGTATGAATGGGGGTTTGTCACAAACCCTTTTCGTTTAACTTCAAGCAAGGCCTTCCACTGAGCCGACCCAGCCAGCTGGCATCCTCGTCTTCTCCACTTCTGCTGCTACTGAATTCACTTCAACAGACTATCCCTGCATTTACTGCTTTTCTTCTGCTCTCTTTCTGAGTTCTCCACCATAGATAGACCTTCGATGTGAATTCGGTGGTAGCCACACGACTTTCTTTGCTCTTGAAATGTCATGTCCTTCTGAGAATTTAATCTTCCTTCAAGGTTTTGCTACCTGTTTTTGAAACAGGCTTCTTATATTTACTGTTCTAGAATTGGCATTACATGCCTCCTGATTTTAAATATGCCATTGGGGGGGGTGTCAAAAATTTACAAGCTTTTTCACTAACAGAACCTCCCATCCATCATTTGTTCTCTCTCACTCAGGCACAGTGCTGAAATTTTGAATTTGTTTTGCAATTCTAGGGATCAGACCAAGTGAAATAGAACCAAGCTGCATCCCCTGCCCCTACAAGCATTTCTACAAAAAAGAAAAGGCACTGGCTTCGCTGCCTGTATTGCCAGTGAAGGATTAGGCTGCCAGGAAGCTCTTAACACTTGATTTAATATAATCTTCCCCAATCAGACTCCATGTTATATGCTCCCATGGCACAACAGTGATTTTTGTCAGTGTACTTGTTATTTAATTATAGCTCCATATGGATTGGGGCCTTGTTTTTCCAACTCTGTTTTGGGTTCTTAGTCCAGTACTGAGAATAAGAAATAAAGGAAAGATTTGCTGCTACTATCCAGCAATTCTTTAGTAGGGAGCTTCTTTAGAAGCAGGGAGCATCTAGTTGGTTTATAAAGAACTAGTCAGGATTCCTATTTCTAGTTTGTTCGTTAAAACTTTTAATATCACAGTGTCTTAAGCTCCGCTTTGACTGAAAAAATAGTAGGGACTTTTTATGTCATGGATACTGCCTTTTGCTCCTTGGCTTCTTGGCTCAAGCCAACATATTCCCTTAACTTGGTTAAACATGAAGCTGAAAATATTGATGTGGAAGCAGGGACAGTGAGGGAAGGGGTTAGCAGTCCTTTATGGGAGATGAGAGACCCTAGCTCTTGGGACCAGGCTTGCACTGCAAATTAGGTAGATAAGGGAAGCACTGTGCTGGTGACAGCATGGCCTCTGTTCTCTCCTGTCTGTGACCTGTAGAACTAAAGTCTGTTGCCAAGGTGTGGTAGGGAGGAGAAGGAAAAGAAGCAAGAATTTCCTCCCCAGGCTGACTTGAGCTGCAGGTGTTTGAAGAGGCAGGAGTGGTGGGGCCTGAGGGGAAGAGCCTCCTCTGCGATTGGTGCAGAGGGTAGAGGTGCCAAGGCCTCTGAGCTGGCAGGTATCAGTGTGGTGCTTGTGGTTCTGCGATTGCCGGGGTGGGGTGTTGTGCTTTTTGCCATCTGAAGAACTCACTGACTTTATAAACTGTAGCCCGGGCTCAGATGTTTAAGAAAGTAAAATACTCAAGAATACACTGATCTGAGTGGGCAGTAGTGAGGGCGAAACATCCTGGTTTCCCACCTTGGAAGCCTGGCAACAGCTTTGTCGAATGAGTCGTTGAGGATCCATCTTCCAAATTACGTGAGTCCTGGGGGAAAGAGGAACCAGCCTTCCTATAACTTTCCATTTTAAGTATGGTAAGCCTTATGAACCGGGGCAGCCAGCGTTGGATGGCAAGGCCATGCGATGGGGCTGGCCATGTAAGGCACAGGTTGCTGGAGGGTTGCATGCTTGGGGCAGCACAAGGCTCAAAGCAGTGTTCTGAGCACAAATTACTCAGGGCATTAGGTGACATTTCAAGCAGTGCCCACGTTGAACATTCCTTAGCCTCCTCTTACTAGTAGGCTAATTGCCAGCATGCTGATTGCATTTAACCTGAATCCTTCTGCCTAGCAGATGCAGGGAGAGGAACCCTGTGCTGCCACATGCCCGGGCAGCTTCCCTAGGGCCGCCACAGGTACCCCATTTGCATTGGGTTTCCACTGTTTAGCAAGGGGCCAGTGAACATCAGAAGTTACTGGGTCCCCATCCAGTCTTGATCTGGGAGACCAAGGCTTCATGGACTCTCCTGCCACCTTTTCAACTTTGACATGTCATCCAGAAGGAAGTCCCACTTTATCCTATTTCAAGAGGTTCAGAATCTCCCAACATTGAAGTCCTTCCTTAGAAGTGCAGTGATTCTGTCATGTAGAAATACTGGCTAGGTGGATGGGATTGACTGGATGGGATTTTCTATGAGTGTCTTTATTTTTTTTTTTTCTTTTAAAGTTCCTTACTTCTTACTTCTGCTGGAACCATTGGCATTGCCTGGATGTTAGTGTCTGGTTTCCAAATTTGCAATGTGAAAATCTGCCAAAGCTGGTGTTGGGAAAGCTCCAGGAAGGCTGTCAATGGCTCTGTTCCCTTACTCTTTGTGTCTCTCCCAGATCAGGTGTGTCACCTATCCCTTGCCCAGCACCTCCCCTGCCTTAGCTGGACCACAGGAGTCTGCATCCCAGACGATGTGGCTGTGGGTAGTGATTCTACTTTCAGCTCTTTCCCTCCCTGTACTTTCCTGGGGTGCTGGTATTTATTCCCCCCTTTTCATTTAGAAGTAGGGAGCAAGTATAAGCTTTGAGGAACATATTTGTGGGAACATTTCTCTTGCAAGAGTGGCTCCAGTTAAGCTGTGGGGCCCTTGGGCCATACCCTGCTGCCACCTGATGGGATGTGTTAACATTTGCTTTCCTGCACAGTTGCTTAGAACATAAAAGTTGTCATGGACTGACTTTTATCTTCCATTGACTCTCTCTGCCTCCTCCTTCCAGGCTTCTGAAATGAAAGTGATTCTGAAGGTAGTCCTTGTCTGTTTATTGCTGTGATTTTTGTGTCTCTAGGGAGGTGACCCGATGCAGAGGTATAGGAGGGTAATCTAATTGTACTTTCTTTTCATTTTAAACTTGTAAATCCCACTCTTTTGATTTTATACTAATGCTGCTCTCTTGCTACCTGTAGTGCCCCCCTCTCTCCCATATTAGAATGCTTTAAAATGGATTTGGTAATAACTATTTAGGATGTTTCAAATCTGGGTTAATATTCATTTTGCTGCATTGCCTGCAATTTAAAAATCATCGTTAAATTAGGAGCCTTTTTTAATCTCTTGGGTAAAGGTGGAAAGTTTCTCTTTACATTTATGACTTGGTAACATTGTCAGCATGTGGAAAGGAAATCTTTGGTGGTCACAGTCACAGCGTCTGACCTAAATGTAGTCACTCTGTGTGTTTGGGTTCTTTGGGCTGTTCTGTTCGTACTGGCAAGCATGTTTAGACACCTGCTGTGTTCCCGGAAAACATTTGTTCAGTACTGGGACAATAAAAAAATGAGACATAGTATCTGTTTTCAAAATTGTCTCCCTTTGTGACTATGAAATTATCAGACCAGCCACTGGCTGAGAAGAGCGGGTGCCTCCCATGGAAAATACTTGTTCTAGG